GGAGGAGGAGGAGGAGGAGGAGGAGGCGCAGGCGCAGGCCGAGGCCCAGGCCAGGCAGGCCGCCCCCCAGCTCGGCGGCGAGCCCCGGCGGGGCAGGCGAGGAGGCGCAGGCCTCCTTCGAGGGCGCCCGGGCTCCTCGGAGCCCTCGGGCCGCCCGAGAGGCTCCCCGCGCCCTCGGGGAAGGCTCCGAGAACTTCTCGGCAGGCCCCCGGGGGGACCTCTGAGCTTTCTGCGAAGGCCCGCCCCTTCTCACTCCCCCCCCCCCCGGCTCGCCGCCGACCAACACTCGAACGACCGCCTGGGGCTCCAAACTGCAAAACCCCCAGAGGCCTCACCGCACGGCCTGCCACCCCGCGGCTGCGAGATCTTGGAGGCCCCCGCTCGCCCAAGGCATGCCCTCGGAGAACGGCCCGAGCCCCAAAACCGTGCGGCCGCCCCAAATACCCACCGACTCACCACGCCGGCCCTCCTCCAAACGTTCGGCTTGGACACGCGAGAGGACACGCGAGAGGACACGAGACCCTTCCGAGGGCCACGTTGCCACTGGAAGGTAGGAGGCATGGGTGGCGAGACGCAGGACACAAGGGTACCCAGCTATGGAGCTAGGAGACGCAGGACACAAGGGGACGTAGGAAGAAGTAGGTAGAGCTATGAAGTAGGAAGGCACTGGAAGTAGATTGGGCCTCCGCCCGCCCCCTGATGAGGAGGCAAGAAGGAAGCCAGTCGATCCTTGAAGTAGGAAGGCGCAAAAAGTAGATTGGAATCTGGGAGTCCAAAAATACCTACTTTCGACGACCGATGGGTACCCTCGATCCAGCAGGGTCAACCAACTAATCCGGGCCGACTGTAGCTCGGATCTCCGACAGCCGTTCGGGCACCCCCGGATTGCCCTCGGCGAGGCGCCGCTGCTTTCGACGCATCCCGAGGCAGGAAAGCCCCCTGGGGAATCGGCGACAACGTCCGAGCCCCCAGGAATCCCCGATGGCTCACCACACGGCGTGGCCACCGCGCCGTCTGTGATGGGACTGTTTTCCACCACCACCACCATAAGTTGGAGGGGGGAAGGGGGACGAGTAAGAGGAGGAGGAGGAGGAGGAGGAGGAGGAGGAGGAGGAGGAGGAGGAGGAGGACCCCCTCCCCCTCCAACTTATGGTGGTGGTGGTGGAGAACAGGCCCATCAGTCTGGAGGGCCCCTCGTCGAGGCCTCCCCCTTGCACTTCGCGAGGATGCCGGGGTTCAGGAAGAACTCGGACTGCTTCAGCTTGGCGTGGCCCTTCAGGGCCTCGGCGCACTGCTCGGGCATGGCCGGGCTGGACCGGTGCTCGAAGAGGCACGCCCACATCCTGCCCTCGCCTGTCGGCCGTGCGCGGGCGTCGGCCCCGGGCAAGAGGGCCCTTTGGTGCGCGGCCGCCTGCCGCTCCCTGCGTGCGATGCGGCCCAGAGCCTCAACGCCTCGAGAAGCTCGAGGAGGAGGAGGCGCGTCGTGGTTTTCGGCCTCTGGGGGCCTCACTGGCCCCTCTGGATCGTAAAGCAGAGGCTCAGGAGGAGGAGCTGGCCCTGGTGATCAGGGCCAGACCTCCAGTGGAGCCTGGGAAAGTCAAGACATCGGGTGTCGGGGAGTGGCGACCTACACGCTTGGGTGTGGTCCTTGCTCCTGGCTCCCCCTCTCCCAGAATTAGGGCGTCCGCGGGATCCTGTCGCCTCTTGCCCTGTTGCCAGGCAAACATCCCTGGCCAGACTGCCTGGGGAAGGCCTTGTCGCCGGCCCTTGCCAGGGGAAGTCTAGTCGAGCCCTGGCGAAGTCACAAAGATGTCCTCTTCGATGGGCCTCCACCAACAAGTCTTCGCGCGAGCCTCGGACCACGCCCCCGAGAAAACCGCACACCAAAGGCCACTCTGGCGAAGCGCCACTCTTACGCTCGGCCGTGGTGGGTCGTCGGGCTGCGCACGGACAACCCCCCTGGACTACTCGAGGCCAGCTGGGACTAGTCGGGAGGCCTGCTGAGGCCAGCTGGGGCTACCAAGCTACCGTGGGGGGGGGCTGCCTGTGCGCAACCCGGCGCCGTGCTATGCAATCGAGCCTGGCTCCACACCCGGGCAAAACTTCGTCATGACCGGCCCGCAATATTTCATGGCCTCGGGGCTCATCCGGATGTCTTTGGCCTGCGCCGCCTGGTTCCGGAACTCGCTGGCCGCGCACTCCTGCGACAGAGAGCTCTTGTGCTTCATCAGGCAGGCGTGCACGCGCCCCTGACCAGCTGGCACTCCTGGGCAGTACGAGGCCACGTCCGTCTGGCACGCCTCGAAGGCATCTGGGAGGACCCTGATGTTCTGCGCGCCAGCCTTGAGGTATCGCGTGACCTCTTCCTGACAGCCCGACCGGATCAGCTCGTTCGCGAGGTGCTTTCTGGACAGGCAGTTCAGCACACCCGTCCCAGGAGTGCCCGACTCCTCCCTGCAGTGAGCGTGCACGTCCTCCTGGCACTCGGTGGAGATGCCGAATTTCAGCTGCCAGTCGTGGTTGCTCGCCTCCATGTCCTCGGTGAGGGCTTGCCTTCAGGTCACAGAGAACACTTTTGCTGTACCAGCGCGAAGGAGCCCAGCGGCAAGGTGAAAGGGGACGACCGACAAAGACGGAGAGGATGACGAGGGGGGAAGGGCGGCGAGGATCGACGAGGACGACGAGGACGACGAAGGGGAAGTGCGACGATGTAGACGACGAGGACGACGACAGAGACGACGAGGACGACGAAGGGAGGGAAGACGGGGCGGCGCCCCGCGCGGGTCGGCTTGCCTGCAGGCCACAGGGAACGCATCCTTGTGCATGCTCTCTTCCAGGCACCCGCGCAGCTCCCTTGACCCCCTGCCGCTGCAGAACACGTCCGAGGCCCGCCTGCAGACCACACTCGTCTTCGGCCTCATGACCGAGGTCTCGATCTCCATCCGGGCCTTCGGAAGCGGCAGCCATGTACCACCGCCGTCCCTGGCCAGCGCCGTCCGGGGCCCCCGGGTGCGTGTGCAGTCATCGTGCTGCCAGAAGCAGCGCCGAACAAAGAACGAAGAGGCTTTTCTGGCCGCGGCGAGCCTCGGCCGCGGCCACGATTGGGTTTCCCGACCCAGACCTACGGAACGGCTCGGAACCCAAGGCGGCCCCTGTCTCAGCGTCTTGGCTGCGGCACCTGGCAGGGCAGAGTGTGGACCTGGCCAGGGGTGGTGGCGTGCAACTGCCCTCTGCGGCTGGCCTGCAGGCCCTCCGCCTTCTGGCACTCCGGGCCCAGGTCCTTGAAGTGCCGCCGTAGGCACAAGTGCAGGTCCTCCCGCGGCGTGTCGCCGCAGTACTTCGCCACCTCCGAGCTGCACTTGCGCTGGACCTGGGGATCGAGGTCCGCATGCATCGACTGGACGCGCGCCACCCGGGCCATCTCGCTCCGGCAGTCCGCCTGGAGCTCAGTGGTTCGTGAAAACGACAAGGCACTGGTTTACAGTTTTCGTTTTGCCGTCTGTATTCCCTGTCCTGGCGCTGTTTTTGTTGCTCAATTCCGTCGCCGTTGCTTTTCCAGTTCCAGCCCTGGCTTCAGTCCCAGAGCCGATTTTGCCGCTTCGACCATGTTTGTTACCGCCTTCATACTCACAATCAATTTCCGCCAGCCCCCTTCTTGTGGGGCCACAAGGCTCCGCGGGTTAGGCCTGCTGCTCCCTGCTCCAGTTCCAGCTTCAAATCTCCCATCTTGTAGTCCCACGTTTTTCTGCGCATGCCGCTGGGCGCTCCACCCGTGGCGTCAGAAGGCCTGCCGACGGCAGGCGGGCAAGAGCAGACGCCTCGAGCTCGGTCGAACGCGGGCGAAACAGGCAGGCAGCCATGGGGGCTAGTACCAGCGCCCGCGATCCACAAAGTCGCCAGGAAGGAGGCCGGCGGCAAGGGGCGAAGCCCTTACGGATATTCAAAACATGGCCCTGATGTTTCCAAGGACCGCGAAGGCCTGGAGGTCTACGACGTGTTCCTTCAGGCACTTGAGGACCTCGGGAGGACGCCAGTGCTCCTGCACCAACGCTGGCCAGGCCCCTCCCGGGCCCAGGGTCGGTGCACAGTCAATGATTAGCGCCCTCCTGGCACGGCCAGAAGGGCGCGTGCACCAATCCGGGCCGCAGGCCACAGGATGGGCCCGGCCAGTACGTGTGCAGAGGTGCACCAGCTGGCACATGCCCGACCTTACCGCCCTGGCCCTCTTTGCCGAAGAGCTTGTCGATGGGAAGGCTGTCCACCAGCTCCTTTGGCGGCCGGCCACCACGGGGGGGGGGGTGCGACTGCAGTGCTCTATTCAAAGCGAGAGCCCATATCTCAACATTTTACCCCTTTTGTGTTGATGTTATCTCTGTATTCTTTTTTGAAATACAGGTGTGTACATAGTTTCTTAAGGAGAAACCACACACATACAAATAAATCCTAATGTGATATATGTTTAAGGTCATTACGGGAATGAAAAACGATGTGTATTTCTTGTTTTCCTTTCCTGGCACCAAACCGCAAAGAAACGGCACAGGAGACGCACAAAATCATTCACGTGGAGAAGTTCCGAAATTATCCCAAACAGAAATGAAGGGAAACAGCAGTGGTTACAAGGTCGAGGCCGAGGGCCGAGGATCGAGGCCTCCGGGCGGAGCACCGAGGTCGAAGACCGAGGCCCTCGAGCGGCCTCGGCCTCCTGGCCCGACCCAGAGGGGCAGAGGGCGGCGGGACACTCTCGGGAGCCATGGGGGCTTCTCGGGAGGGCTCGGAGGCTTCGCAGTAGGCTTCCTAATTCCAAGGCGGGCATGTTCCCCTGCAGGGGGAACTTGGGCGAGAAATGAAAAACGAAGAACACCCAAACAATGCCCCCCAAATGGGCACAAAATACTCAAAAGATCGTCCCCAGACTATTTTTTGACTACTTTTGAATATTCCCCCTGTAGAGGGACACGCCCGACTTAATCCTAATTGGCAGGCCGGAGGGTTCCCAGACCGCCGCCGCCCCCGTCCTCCGCGCGCCAGACCGACCCCCCCCAGTTGCAGCACCGATCCTTCTCCGCTGCGCAATGCCTCCCGATGTCGTCAGCGCACCTGGTGCGCACCCGGAAGTCCAGCTGATAGTGACTCACCTGTCTGCCGATGAGGTCGGTCACCTTGCCCGCACACTCTTCGTGTTCCTCGCGCTTGGCGGCGACGACCTTGTCCCACAGGCACATCAGCATCCTGGCCTCGCCGAACGGGATGTCGCTGCACTCCGCCGAGATCGCCGTCCCGCAGACCTTGAGCACGTCCGTGCTGAGGCGCAGGTCCTCGGACTCCTCCACCTCCTTCTTGAAGAGGGCCACCTGTCGGATGCCCAGAAGTTGGCGCCAACGCGGGGATGATGCTGATGATGATGGTGATGATGATGATGCTGCTGATGATGCTTATGATTATGCTGGTTGATTATGATGATGACGACGATGATGATGACTAACCGACCACGGGCGATAATACTACCCCGGAGATGATTACGATGATGATGCTGATGATGATGATGATGATGATGATGATGATGATGATGATGATCATCATCATCATCATCATCATCATCATCATCATCATCATCATCATCATCATCATCATCGTCATCATCATCATCATCATCCTCATCATCATCATGATAGTGATCCTGCGCGCTCGGCACAAGACTGACTCGAGAGATCTCGATGCTCGTGGCTACAACTTGCCAGCGGGCGCTCGGCACAAGACTGACTCAAGAAATCTCGAGACTCGTGCCTACAACTTGCCAGCGCAAGAGCGGTCCTTGGCCGTTCTGGCCAAGAAACCTCTCTTGCGCTGGACTTCGAACCACTCCCCCATGCAGGCGCGGCACGCTTTGAAGCCGTCCTTGCAGGGGAGGGATGCAGTTGCTAGTCAACATGAGATGACAGCAACTTCGATTCGCAATTTACCCCGTGGATTAGAAAGTTCGGCCTCCGCGCCCCAATCCAGGAACGGGGATAAAAATAGAGGGGGAAAGGGGGGGTATGTTATTATCGCCCGCGGTCGGTTATGCTGATGATTACGATTCTGAATTTCATCATGCTCATGAGTTTCGTCATGATCATGATGATGCTGATTGTGCTGCTGATGCTGATGATGCTGCTGATGATGATGCTGATGATGACGAGTATGATGATGCTGGTGAGTAGGAGGAGGACGGGGGGGAAGAGAATGAATAGGAGGAGTGGGAGGATCAACATGAAAGAACAACAAGTAATGCGGGAGCCGGGTCCTGGATCCCTGGGAGTTCCTTCCCCTCGGACCAGGTGTTCATCCCAGACGCCCAACGATGTGGTTTGGTCGACCCGTGCGTGGCCCCGCAGCCTCGGACCCCTCCCCCCGGGAGCACCTTTGGCCACCATCTGCGACGACCCCGGGTCCTGAAAAGCGGCCCTCCCCCAGGCCAACACGAAGGAAAAAACAGCAGGATGACAAGACACAGCGCCGCCGACGCTAGCACTCGTGCCGATGTGCCCGCGGGGGGCATTACAGGAGAAGGAGGCGGTAAAGGTAAAGGTGAAGGAGAAGGGAGGAGAAGGAAGGAGGGAGGAGCAGGGAGGAGAAAGAGGCGCTTGGAATGACAATACAATTATGCTCCGGCCGATGCGGGGGACATCGAATCCGCCGTCAATGCCGAGTACCCTGTCCTGGAGGCCTCTTTCCCGCTGCTGGACAAGGGGAAGCGGTGGCACGCCCAGGCCGAGACTGTGGCCCGCCTGGCACTTCGCCGGGACTTCCTGGAGATGACTCGCACCGGGGAGCGGCCGAAAGCTTCCCCACCCGAGTCCCGCCAGTGCGCCAACTCTGAAGGGGCCCTGGGACACACAAATAAATACACACAAATAAAAGGATTCCCCATATTTTCCCATATTTGTTTTTGGTTTTTGTCTTCCCCCCCACTTCCCATATTTTCCCATATTTTCGGGGGAATCGAGGATTCATTGTGTCTGTGTGTTTCTTTTCCTCCTGAAGCTCGGCCCAGCACCGGGTGGATGTAGCGATCGCTCTTCGACAGCTGCGACGGCTGCACCGCCGGCTCGCCCACGGAAAGACCGCGGGAGCGGACTCGGAGCGCCTGCCCCCCGAGCGCCTGCACGACTTCGGAGCGGCGGCCCTCCAGGGGGCCCTCCATGATGGGCGCATTTTCCACCACCGCTACCATAGGTAGGACGGCCTTCTGCTCCTCCTCCTCCTCCTCCTCCTCCTCCTCCTCCTCCTCCTCTTTCCTCTCCTACCCATGGTGGTGGTGGTGGAAATTCGGCCCATCACTCCACGCGAAGTGGCCTGCCGCCCCGCCGCTGTGGCCGACGCACGCCGCCGCAGTCGACCTCATCAGTGCCAGCATCACCAAGGAGGAGCGGAAGGGCGCGGGCGCCCGCGGCCGCCAATGGGAACCACGCTTCACCGAACTCACTCGGGACACATGGGCTACACGCAAGAGTGACCCTGGGTAAGAGTGACCTTTGGTGCGCGGCTTTTTGGGGGCCGCGGGGAGACCAAACCTGGGTGCGCAAGCCGCTGCTACCGCTTCGTTTTCAGCCATCTGGGGACCCATCTGTGCCCGCACCAAAGGTCACTCCGGCGAAAGGTCACTCTTAATCACGTATAGTCGAACACGTGCGCCGCCGCCGGTCCCGTCATCAAGCCGGGCCCTGAGGCGCCGACGTTCACGCCCGACTCCATGCGGGCGGAGTGGGAGCCGCTCTGGAACCCGCCGGACTGCCACCCAGAGGCCATCTGGGCAGCGTGGTGCACCTGCGCGGGCAAGGCCGCCTTCCCGCAGTGTGGGGTCGCGGCCGACTGGATCCCCGACTACGAGGCCCTCTCCGCCGCCTTCAAGAAGTGCGGGGGGTAGGCCGGCTTCGACGGCGGGTCAGCCACAGAGGCGGGAGCTCTGACGCGGCGCTTCGATTTCCCGAAGGAAGGAGCTGTACATGGGTGGGTGGCAACCACGCGCGCCGCTGGAGAATCGGCCGGCCTCCCGGAGGACCTGGTCGACTTCCTCCTCTGCTGGCGGGTGGTGGGCATCACCAAGCCAAAGACAGACATCTCCCGTCCTGTCTCGGTGGCGTCCTACCTCGTGCGGGTGTGGCTTAGTGCCTGCGCGGCCATCACGCCCCACTCAGTGGACACGCAGTGGGCCACGCGCCCTGGAGTATCCGTGGTGCACGCCATTTCCTCCTGGCTGAGTGCGGCGGCGGATGCGGAAGAAGGCTGTGAGCCTTAACCTCACCAAAGCGTACGACCGAAATGATCACCTACTGGCAGCAGAGGCACTGGACCGTGAAGGTTGGCCTCGGCACCTGCAGTGTTAAGGCGGGCGTGTCCCTCTACAGGGGGAATGTGCCAAACTAGACCAACAAAATAGTCTGGGGACGATGTTGTTGACTACTTTTGAGCATTTGGGGGGCATGTTTCGAGTATCTCCTTTTTTTCGCCCAAGATCCCCCTGTTGGGAGACAGGCCCGACTTACCTGCAGTGTCTGCCTGGGTAGTCGAAGCCAATCTGGCGCCAATCTGGCAGGCCCAATCTGGCAAACGGGGGCAATCTGGCGAGGGAGCCAACGCGAATCCAGTCTGGCGAATAACCCAAATCCTCCAGTTTGGCCAGGCCAGATTGGCCCTTGGGGCCCAATCCAATCTGACAGTCTGGCCTTCGACTACCCAGCCTGGGGACGAGGTTGTGGACTACTCTTGAGCATTTGGGGGGCATGTTTTGAGTATTTTTTATTTTTTTCGCCCAAAATCCCCCTGTAGGGGGACAGGCCCGACTTACCTGCAGTGTCTGCTCCGCTGCCCCTGGCGGGGCCCCCGGGTGCCGCCAGGTCGAGGGGGCGCCGAGCTCCTCCCCGGTCACGCCCCTACTGCGGGCTCCCGCAGGGCGGGTCTGGTGCGCCAACTGGCACGGTGGCCACCCTGGCGCCGTGGCGCGACAATAGGGAGCCCACAAAGGACGTACGCGCCCAGCTATGTACATGAACACGGCCCCTCGATTCACGAGACCCGCCGCGTGATACGAACATTTGTGCAATGCGTGCTCTCGAAACCAGCGTGGATTCATGCACATCTACGTCCTTCTTTCGCTCCCGAGACAAGCGCGTTCCACTGCTCGCAAAGCCGCTGCTCGCCAGTGGCCTGGATCTGGGGCAGGGAACGTGCGACAAACGACACCGAGGCAGACGTGTGGTTGTTGATTTCGGACGTTTGCGAGTACGTAGGCACTCTGCGAGTAGCGGAACGCGCTCGGCGAGTGGCAGCCCCAGGACGTGACACCCTTCGCTTTCATGGACGACCGGTCGATGACCGTAGGCGCGCCGGCGGCCGCCACCAAGCTGCACGACGCCCTCGAATGCACGCAGGACTTCGACACTGCCGCCAACTTCGCCGAGAACAGCGGCGGGCGGCAGAGATGGACAACGGCAGGAGGTGAACGAGCTGAACACTTGGCTTGAGTCGGGCCTGTCCCCCTACAGGAGAAGTTTGGGCGAAAAATCCGCCGATCCGGCGTGAGAGTTTCTGAGAGCGTGGGCTTGAGCTCGCTCAAGCTTCGCTCTGCCGAGGGGGGGGGACCTCATTTCCGACCTATTTCCGACCTAATTCAGTGCTTCGCCCCACCCCCCCCTCCAGAGCGGACCCCCCCCCCCCCCCCCCCCCCCCTGCAGAGGGCCGCCCCCCCTCCCTCTGCAGTCGCCCCCCCCCCTTGCCCATGCAGAGCGGACCCCCCCCTGCACAGCCCCCCCCCCCCCACGCCCCCTCCCCCCCCCCGCCCCACAACTCAGAGCGGCACCGCCCCAACCCACCCCTGAAGCCCTCCCATAATGGCATCGCCCGGAGCTGAGCAGGACCTTCCCCCCTGTGCCGAGCGAACCTCTCCCCCTGCAGCCCCCCCCCTCCCCCCTGCCAGAGCAGTCAGAGCAGACCCCCCCCTTCGCTGTAACACACACCCTGCAGAGCAGACCCCCCTTTCATGCACCTCTCACCCGCAGAGCACCCCACCCCCCCCCCCCCCTGCAGAGCGGACCCCCCCCCTCCCCTTCTTGCAGCCCAGCCCCCCCCCCCCCCACCCCCCCCCCACCCCCCCAACCCCCCTGCGAGCGGACCCCAAACGACCCCCCCCCCCGGCGCAAACCGCCTCCCCCATGCAGAGCGAGAGCCCCCCCCCCCCTCCCTTGCACCCCCCCCCCCCATGCAGAGTCAGACCAACCCGCGCTGCAGCCCCCACCCCTCTGCAGAGCGGACCCACCCTCTCACCGGAAGCCCCTCCCTCTGCCGAGCGGGACCCCCCTGCAGAGCCGACCCACCCACATGCAAACCCAGCTCCCTTACCCGTTCGTCGTCGTCGTCGTCGTCGTCGTTGTCGTCGCGTGTCGTTAGTCGTGCGTCGTCGCTCGCTTTCATCGTCGTCGTCGTCGTCGTCGTCGTCGGTCGCTGGCGTCGTCGAGATGCATTCGCCGTACGTCGTCCTGGTCGTCGGTCGTCGTGGTCGTTGGTCGGTCGGTCGCTCTCGTCGTCGTCGTCGTCGACGTATTCGTTTTCGTCGTCGTTTTCGTCTTCCTCGTCGTCGTTCATTTCCACAGGCACCCGGAGCGCCCCGGATCGGCGGCACTGGCCGGAGGCCACTAAAATAAAACAAAATCTCCAGAAATCCCCCCAAAAAATATTCACAAATAGTAAAAACAAAATCGTCCCCTGACTATTCTTGAATGTTCCCCCTGTCGAGGGACAGGCCCGACTTAACACTTGGGTATCTCCGCTGTGCCGGGCTCCCCAGGGGATCCCATCGAGCCTCGCTTCGGGTGGGACCCTGTGCGGGAGACAAGACGCCGCCCTGGGCACGCTCCCTGGGCCCGCCAGAGTCAGGGAAGCCCTGACCATTGAAGGGGCCCTGGGACACACAAGTAAGTCGACACAAATAACAGGATTCCCCATAAGTTCCCATATTTTCTGGGTCATTGTCTTCCCCCCACTTCCCATATTTTCCCATATTTTCCTGGGAATCGACGCTGAATTCTGTTTGTGTGTTTCTTTCCCTCCTGAACCATGGCTTACGCCTCGCCGATGTGTCTGTGGGCAGCACCCGTGGTGGCGCCACCACCGCCGAACATCACGCCCTTGGTCATGAAGGCTGTGCTGCGCACGGGCTGCTCCTGGTGGTGCAGGGGCCGGTGGTGGGCCAGTCGACTCAACCTACACCCTCTTTACGGTTCAATTCTTCGTGGGCTCAAGGTTGTGCTTGATCCTGAATTCAGCTGGAGTCCCCATGTGGAGACGCAGGTACGAGCTGCCGTGGGTCGGCTGGGGCTGGGCTTACGAGACCACAACCCGTATTTTGGCCTGTGCCTGGAGGTGCTCCTGGGGGACAACCCGAGGGTTCGGAAGTTCACAGAGAGCGTGCGCCAGGGCCGCTCATATTTTTGGACACGGTCCACAGAAGCTCAACATTGCGCCAGGCTTGTGTGCCGCATTAGCTGCCTGCAGCAGTGCGCCCACAGCCGCAACGACGTGGAGGGCGTGGAGAAGATCGATGTCGAGGTCTCCAGCGACCCCCGGTGGAGCAAGCTCTCGGAAAGCCTGATGGCCGCCGAGTAGCAGGCTCTCAACATCTTCCAGTGTGGAGCCATACGCAGACAGACCCGCGCCAGCAACGATGCCAACACCAGGTGTGCGTTGTGCGGAGCGCTCTACCCGAGTGCCCGGTACCTATGGAGCCAATGCAATGGGATGGATAAAGAGCGCCGGCTTCTCAGCAGGCTGTACCACATCCAACCTACGTGGTGGACTCGTCAACCACGAATCACATCCAAAAGCGGATGGATTACGACCGGGGCCAGTCGTCATCATCATCATCATCATCATCATCATCATCATCATCATCATCATCATCATCATCATCATCATCATCATCATCATCATCATCATCATCATCATCATCATCATCATCATCATCATCATGAGTATCATGATTACCATGATTACCATGATTATCATGATTATCATGATCATCATCATCATCATCATCATCATGATACATGATTAACATGGATTACCATGATTACATGATTATCATGTCATCATCTCATCATCCTCATATCATCATCCCATCATCATCATCATCATCATTCCTCAATCATCATCATTCATCATGTAGTGTTGATACTGCAGATGACAGTTGTCGCTGGGTATCTTCATTGTATGGCCGTTGAAGGCACGTGCTCGACTGACATGCCGCCACCCCTTGTGCTCCTGAGAAGGGACTGAACTCAGTGAGCTGTCATCCGTCGCTCGAGCAGAGGCGAGTAAAGGTAAAGGTCAAGGCAGAGGGAAAGGCCTCGGGGGCCGTGGTGCGAAGACTGAAAGCCTGAGAGCGGGCCCCTGCGAAATAATGCGGAGCTGCCAAGACCGTCGAGAAGCGCGGCTCGAGGAGGGAAGAGAGGGACAGGAGGAGAGGAGGTAGAGGAGGGAGGAGGAGGAGGAGGAGGAGGAGGAGGAGGAGGAGAAGGAGGAGGAGGAGGAGGAGGAGGAGGACGAGGAGGAGGAGGAGGAGGAGGAGGGGCGATCCTCGACCCCCACGATCCCCACAGGAGGAGGACGGCCCCTGGTTGGTGGACGTGGTGGACACGACGCCGCCGCCCGGCGGCCGGCAACGACTCGGCGCTCCCGGCCGCGGCGCGACGACCAGGCGAGGCTACGCCAAGCGCGAGGAGCACGGGAGGCACCCGGGCGCTCGACGGCGTCCGCCCCGGAGGCCTCAGGCCGCCCGGGAGCCGAGGCGCGGCAGCGGCCGCTTGGGCAGACGCGCGAGCTCCCCGAGGGCACGCCGCCGAAGGAGCTGGCGCGCGCCCACCATTGGCGGGCGAAGAGCGGTAGAAAAGTAAGCTGCTTCCGCTGTCTCGGACGCCTGGCCCTCGGGAGGCTGCAAAGCTTACGATCCTACGTGGCACCGTGGGGGCATAAACTTTGCAGCCGCCTGGAGGGCAGGCGTCCCCGGCGGTGGAAAGTTTACTGCGTACCCTCCTTCGCCCGCTAACACACGGCGTCCAGCTGCGCGCTGCCGCGCCGAGTGGCGCGCCAGCTCGGGCGTGCCGCTGAACTGTGCGCTGAGCTGCGCGGTTGGGCGGGCGCGGTCCCCTGGCCGACGGGCCCGGGGCCCCGCTGCGCCGAGGCGGGGCGGGGCGCTTCTTATGTGAAGGGGCCCCAGGACACACAAATAAATACACACAAATAAAAAAATCCCCCATATTTTCCCATATTTTCTGGGTTTCTGTCTTCCCCCCACTTCCCATATTTTCCCATATTTTCCTGGGAATCGAGGATTCATTGTGTCTGTGTGTTTTTTTCCCTCCTGATCATGAGCGCGCAGCGCGCGACGGGCGCTGGCGGCTGGCGGTCGGTGATGGGGGGCGGGGCGCTGGGCTGCGGCACCCCGGCGCTCGGCTGCGGCGGCGGCGTGCACTGGGCGGCGGCGAGGGGCGGCCGGCGCCCGCGGCCGACGTCCCGCTCCTGCTGGACGCCAGGTCGTCGGGTGCGCCCTGCTGCGGGCCCCGGCCCGCGCAACTCCCCGGGCGGCCGCGGCGTGGCGGCCGGGCACGCTCTGGGCAGCGGTTGCTCATGGGGGGGCAGCGCCGCGCAGCACACGGGGGTTGAGCCCGGACCCCCAACAGCTGGGAGGCGGAGGAGGAGGAGGAGGAGGGGGAGGAGGGGGAGGAGGAGTAGGAGGAGGAAGAGGAGGAGGAGGAGGAGGAGGAGGAGGAGGAGCAGGAAGAGGAGGAGGAGGAGGAGGAGGAGGACGCGGAGGGGACGGAGGAGGGGAGGCGGAGGAGGAGGAGGAGGAGGAGGAGGAGGAGGAGGAGGAGGAGGAGGAAGAAGCGGAGGAGGATTAGCATGACCAGGTCGGAGATCCGTAGAAAGGCGGAGGTCTCTCCGGGCCTTGCACTTCTCGGACAGCGTGTCCCGGTTCTTCGGCGACAGGAGGCACTTTCTGCGGAGGCCGACGGGCGCCCTACCGCAGGCGGTGCCGTCGGAGAGGTCCTCGCGGCAGGCCTCGAACAAGGGGATGTCGAGAGTCATGTCGCCCGCCTGCATCTCCTGATCGGCGCGGAGTGTGGGAGTGTGAGATAAGAGAGGAGCTCTTGTTCGCCAGCCTCGCTCGACGCTGTGGCCACTCAGAAGTGTTGGAGCGCGCGTGCGCACGCTCAAGCCTCGAGCATCAAGGCTTGCGCCAAGTCATCCAACTTCGCGCATCGCGCCCAACCTCGGGGCCGGGTGGATGTCAGGGTAGATGATGCCCAAGTACGGCCAGACCTAGGACACGAGAACATCCTTCAAGAACGTGAGACCCTCCGCCGGCCAAAACACCCCAAACCATAAGATCACTCGAGGGTGCCCTCCCCCAGGATGTACAACAAACACATCCGACGAACACGAAGAACATTAGAGTAACTGGGAAGGGTCTTCAGACCACCCCCCCAATAAGGTAGAAATTATTTGTTCGGCGACCTTATTCACGGATTGGTGTTTCACCAGTAGGGGAAACTAGTTATAATTTCTCCGCGGCACCCGCCGCGCAACAACGACGCCCACAACTACGACTACGATTGCGACTACGACTACGATTGCGACTACGACGGCTACTGAAAATTACGACTCCGGAGCGCTCTCATAGAAAATCTTGGCGCTGACGCTGAAGATGCGCGTGTTCATTGCAAATGTATATGAGCGCATGGTGCAATCCTCTAACAAGCACGACGAGACGAAGGAGGGGATGGCGAGGAACGCCCTCGGCGAAGAGTATGTCGATCTATATCGTAATCATCTTACAAACGTGCTCAAAACTCCTCTGTCGTGCAGGGTTGCCCAGAGAGCATGATTCCCTGGGAGAAGAAGCCTCCCAACATTGTCCAGTCCGCCCAACAGTGGAGGGAAAACAGTCTCCGCCGCGGCGCGAAGGTTTTAGCACCATCACCGCCGAGAGAAAAAGAAGGGGGGGTCTAAAACTAGAAACACTCTGAGGTGGCCCTCCCCGAACCGACCTCGATCTTATACCTCGGTCCGACCGCACCTGATTTCTCCGGCGCCTCCCTGCGCAGGAGGCGCCGCATGCATCGAGGCGAGGCGCCGGGCTGCGGGGCCGAGACCAGCCGCACGCCGCGAACGTCGCACCTCGTGGGCCCCGTCTCCCCCCAGGGATGGACCCAAACACGATGTTGTTCGTCCCCGCTTCGTTCTGCTTTTCGTTCTGCTCTGCCAATTTTTTCCCGCGCCTCCCCTGACCGGGACGAAAAGCAAGACACGTCGCCCGACCCGAGCCCCCGATCCCCAGGTCGCCCAACTTCGCTCGGCGGTGGACAAACCTCCCTTTCGCAAACCTCCCCTTGGTGAAAACCGGCCCGGGACCGAAACCGACGGACCTGGACCCGCAAGAATGACGACCGCGACGCCCTCTCGCGAACTGAAAACGGCCAATGCCTTGATCGACGAGGTCTACCCAGACATGCGACGTCCTGATTTTTTCAGGACGGCGTCCCCGCAAGTCCCGACCCTTTCCCCGGGACCGGTTTTTCGTCCTGAGTCGTTTTTTGACGGTCCCGAGGCCCGGCGAGGACCTCTAGAGGGCGAAAATATTCAAAAACCGCCCGTCCTGATTTTTTTACGACGCCATCATTGTCTGGGTACCAACATCCGATTCGCGCCCTCGCGCCCCGCGATGCGCCGGGGTCTCCGCGCCCCCGCGCCGCCTGCCCCGGCACACGGGCGGCCGCTCCGGCCCCAGGCCACACGACGAGCGGCGCGCGGGTGCTCCTCGCGCCCGCCTCGGGCGGCCCGGAGGGGGGGGCCCCAGACATCGGGCGTCTCGAAAAAATCGAGACAAAGGTTTTTCATCGTTTTCGGCCTCTGGAGGCCTTCGCCGGGCCTCGGGACCGTCAAAAAACGACTCGGGATGAAAAACCGGCCCCGGGGAAGTGGTCGGGAGGTTGGGGGCCCGTGTCTCGAAAAAATCGGGACGTCGGATGTCTGGGGCGCGGGCGTGGTGGCGCCAGGATGCCGCCAGGAGGGCGCCCCGGTCGAAAAAAAACGGCCCCGGGCCGAGAAGCAGCGCCAGAGGTGGAGCAGACGACCGAGGTTGAGTAACCTCCGGTGTTCGTTCGTTCCGCCTGTCGTCTGTCACGCCCCCCCCCCCACTCCACACATTTCGAAAAGGGAACCGCCCTCCCTCCGTGAAACGGTTGCAAACATGGGGAGTCAACATGCGCGGCGCTAAGGCGAGAAGCAACTGCAACCTTTGAAGACGAACGTGCTGGGCGATGAGGCGAGAAACACATCTTCCCCACCCGTGAAACACCCTCAAAAATTCCAGATACACGTGGCGCGAAAACGATGACCACAGTTTGAAAACGACCACCCGTGACACTGTTGCCGACTTCATGCTTGAGGGTCCCACATGGTCAGGACGTCTCAGGCAAAACGCCCAGCCCGCCCTACGGACGCGCCGGCGGGTGCGACAAAGAGGAGTTATTGATCAGGAGAACGCATGGAGAAGTGGGATGCAGTCTCCTCTCTCTGTGAGCAGTGCCGTCTCTGGACGACGAGGCCGATCCTCGATCTGAGCCTCAGTGTTTGATTCTTTCGTGGTCAGAGGGCACCTGTCCTGGACGCCGACGAACACGTTGGGACGGGGAGGAAGACGCACGAGGAGGATGAGGACGAATCGTGAAAGTATTCTCATCCTCTCGAAGAGAACACAACGCCGTAAGCACAACAACTGTCGGATATTCGCGCGGAATTCCTGGATCGGCGCTGGAAGTTCCTGGCGGCGCCGCCCCTGGCGCGCTCCGCGCGTGAGAGGGGCTCAGATCCGATCAAAGAAATCCGATCGGACCCAAGACAATTGATTGTTATATCAGTTGTTCGTTTGTGTTTCTTTTCTTCTCCTCCTCCTCCTTTTCCTCCTCCTCCTCGTGCATCCTCCTCCTCTCTCCAGTGGCGGTGGCGGGTCTCCTGAACGACGAAGAGCCCGACCCCTCGATCCTCGATTTCATCCTTGATCCTTGACTTGGTCCTCGATCCTCGACTTGACCATCGATCATCGACCTGATCCTCGAGTTATTTCTCGATCCTCGATGCTCGGCGGACTATGACGGTCTTCCTCGCGAAAGGTGGATTGTTGCCCCCAGCCAGAGATTTTCACTCTCGACCGCCAAGTTTACGATTATCAAAAATACGAGCGGGGACGGTTGAACACATAGACTCTCTCCTGTGGTGACGAGGGCTTTCCAGTAGGCTCCTAAGAAGCAGAAAACTTCCCAGCTCAATACCCCCCTCTTTTGCAGTTGGGCGGTCTCCAAGTCCAAGGCTTGTAGCGCTCGGTGACAAAAACGCGCCACAAAAAAAAAGGTCGACCCAGGCTCAGTGCGCAACGAATTAAGCAAGGGCGAACGCATCTGGACAAAGAAAGGCGACAAAGATCAGCACCCGCCAGAACGGGTTAGGACGCCCCCAAAACGGCTGAAGAGGACTCACAGGAAAGCCTCAGAACGGCCCCGAGAGGTCCCCAACACGGCCTCCGAGGGGGCCACGCGGCCCACGAGGCCCCCGAAAGGCCCCACGAGGTCTCGAAGAGGTCCCCCCCATGCTCCTGCCCCTCGACCTGGCGACCTGGCCCTCTCGACCGTCGACCTGGCGACCTGGCCCTCTCGACCCTCGACCTGGTCCTCGACCCTCGACCTGGCCCTCTCGACCCTCGACCTGGGCTTCGACCTGCTCGACCCTCGACCTAACGCTATGACAGCGACACTCCCTCTCTGCAGGTGGGGGGTCACCGCCTGGAAGACGTTACGCGCTGACACACTCAGCGCGCGCTCGCAGGACGTAGCAGCCAGATGCTTCAGGGAGAAGATAGCCTCTCCTCCACGGCATCCCGGGGCGGACTTGTGCGACGCAGTGGAAGGGGGTAATCAATGCGCCCCAGCCGTCTTTCCCCGACTCCGTGCGGATGCCCCGAACATCTGCTGCCTTCTTGTGCATCTCAACGAAACGCACTGCATTATACTGTCTGCCCTGGGCCCTTAGGAAGCCAAAAGACCTCGGGCCCCACTCTGTGATGTCACTGAAGAAGACCGCGGCCGAGCAGCTGCGAGCTGGGCCAGCGCCGCGCAACTCACCTCCCCGCTCGACACGACGAGAGGCGCATGGTGCCGAGCCTGGGCCGGGGGGCCCGCCGCCCCGCTGCTCAGCGCGGCCTGGCCCCCGCCTCTGCCGCGGGCTCGGGGGCGGGGGCCGAGGGGCGCTTAGCGCTCGCGCGCGCTGCCGCCGAGCGCTTGGCCAGAATATGGGCGGCTCTGGCCTGCGCGCAGGCGCGCTGGGCGTCGGCGCCCGGGGCTGCGACGGTGGCGGCGGCGCCCGCCGAGGCCCCGTCGCCTCCGCCCTTGAAGACGGTCGGAGCGGCATGCTCCCCACTGGCGGCGGCGCCGCCGCCGTCGCGCCTCTTATTGACCATGCGCTCCGCGTGCTCCTGATGCTGCTTCTGGACCGCCTTCGCGACGTCTGCAGCCCGCTGGAAGACCTCCCTGGCCATGGTGGTAATATGCTCCTCCAGCTCCCGCTGGCGCCGCTGAACCTCCTCCATGTCCTCCTGGGGCACATCCTCATCTCCGAAGTCCGACATGGAGCCCATGTCGACTTTGATGGTGTCGCACGTGCCGTCGAGGAGCGAGCCCAAGGCGAGGGCGGGCTCGGCGGCCTTGGCATTGGTCCTGTGGGGCTGCGCCAGCACGTGGTCGTGCTGCTGCTTGAGCTCCTCGAGCTGTAGATTTGGCTGTTCGATATGGTCCCTCTGCTCCTCCGCCGCATTCCCGAGCTTCTCGAGCTGGGCGATGGCGGCCCCGAGCTTCCTGACATGCCTCTCCCTGGCGCAGGTGACGCTGGAGAGCTGGGGCGCCAGCGGCTCGGCGGCGATGGCCTGCTGGCAGCGACGCTCCAGGGTGGTGTCGCCCATCTTGGAGGCCATGGCTCGCAGGCCGTGGGCCTCCTCAGGCTCCACCTCGTCAGCCTGAACCGCATCACCCCCAGCAGCGCCGCCGTCGCCG